CCGCCGCTGCTCCGTGAGGGGAAGGCGGCGGAGGGGGGGGGGCGGCGGCTGCGGCCCAGCAAGGGGTTAACCCCGCCCCGGCTGACATCTTACCTGCGCCCACGTGCGCCACGGACCCGCGTGGGGGTGTGTGTTTGTGTGAGGAAAAGAGGGGGAGTGTGTATGTGTTTGTGTGTGTGTTTGTGTGTGAGGTGGGGGGGGAATGTCGCTTACCCGTGTCCAGGCCGCCCCCCACCCCCCTCCGGGGGAAAAATAAGGGGTTGCGGCTCCTCTGCCAGCCGGGCTGTGCTGCTGCTGCTGCTGCTTCTCCTTCTTCCTCCTCCTCCTCCTTCCCCCGCCGCCGCCTCTTCCTCCTCTCCGGCCTCACAAAGAGCGGCGGCGAAGGCCCTGACTCGCCTTTAAAGGCAGCGGCTGGAAATTTAAGGTGTCCCGGAGCCATGTCTCTCCGCCGCCCTCCCGGGAGAAAGGGTCGCTGCCGCCCCTCGCCCCCTGTCTCCCGGGCCCTTGGGGTGGTTTTGGGTAGGTACCCGCCTCTAGGCTTTCCCCCCTCATCTCCCTTTTTGCTCCTGTGCTCCCCTCTCCTTGCTCTGTAGGTAGGTGAGGGTTAAACTTAAGTTTTGGTTTTGTTTTTTTTATGCCGTTCGTTTTAAAGTAAGAGACATCTGGGTTGCGAGGTGCTTTCTTGCTGCTGGGGAGGGATGCTCCAGGCTGGAGCTGCAGGTCTGCACAGGCTGCCAGCCCTCACAAGAAACTTGGGTCTCCCAAGGAAAGCTGTTCCCCCCCTGGTAGTCCACAAAATGCACGCTTGGTTGAGATCTTAATTTAAAAAATAAAAAAAAAAGTTACTGTGTTCTTGCACTGCGGATGTTTTCCATTAAATAAAGTCGTCTTGTTTGTTTCAGTATTTGTTTTCAAGCCGGGGAACGTAATTTACTCTGTCTTTACAGTCCTCGAGGTTCCAAAAAGTTCCTGGTAGGCTGTGGCCTCTGAATCCTTTCCTATATAAGTAGGTAGGGGGTGCTAAGCATATTGCAATTACTAGTTAGAGGAAGGCAGACGTTTCCCTTGTGAGACAAGCTAGCTGCTTTTTATAAATTTCTGGAATTAATTAGAATGAAGTGTTAAAAAAGAATGAAGGGGGGGGGGGGGCTAAAAAAATCCCCCTCCTCTAAAAGCTTTTGTCTCCCGTTTCTGTTGACAGGTTGTTTTCCAGACACTATCTTTTTTTTTTTTTTTTTTTTTGATTGCAAGTGCTTAGTGTCTTGCATTAGAAGACAACAGCTACGAACTGAATTCATTGCTCATCCAAGACACGTTCTTGTAACTAGAGTTTGGATTACTGCCCGAGCCTGGGCTTTGGAAGATTTGTTTTAAATAAGTGCCACGCCTCCCAGAGAAGGAGGGAAAAAGCACCGTAAAGGGCAGTTGGGCTCCACATCAGAAGTTCTCAGGGAGCTTAAAACTTCAGTTCCTACAAAGTATAGTCAATAAATTAGTGGACTTAATGGTTTATGGAACAGATGTACTCGTTAATAAGTGCTGTGTAGGGAAAATAGGTTTGCGTGGTCGGTAGATTTCTTTCTTACATTTAGTGCTATTGAACTCAGAGAATACCAGTCACTTCCATTAGCTTTTTTGCTTTTCAGCTTAACCTCCTACCGACGTGACCATCAAAATCAGATTTTGTCAGCGATGCTGCTGAACTCTGTTCTTCTTGTTGTTAGGCAGGATCCTTGATTTCTAAGAAACCACTGCAGACAGGTTTTTTTTAGTAATTCCTGAAAACTTCTTCTCCGAGAAAGTTGAATTGCATTTTATCACAGCCGTTCCTGTTTAGAAGTCAGTGTCTCGGTTAGGCCTCTTATTAGTTTTGGAGTGTGGTGTGTGTGAGTCAGAGTGGAAAAACGTTCTAAAATTAGACATGCATTGTTAAGAATTTTATTAAATGAGTTGCATCAGTGTCTTTTTACATTACCATTTTAATGGGCAATTCTCTGTATTTTCAGTATCGTTAGCTGACTAAAAAAGGGCTTGAGAGGCAAGAAACTTTTCGACGTTTTTATGTCTGCGAACATACTGAGAGGTAAACTGGCATGTTTTTAGGTAAACCAGCCTGATTAAATAGGGCCTCTTTGTTCTTCTGTTACCTGTACCAACAGAACACCAGGCTTGCCTTTTCCCCCAAGGAGAACAGGTGTATTATGGAGTTTCAGCTTCTTACATCAGAACTGAAGCGGAGCCATTATTTGAAAAGCATCTTATTTTTGAGATTAATATGTTAATGGCTAAAATTATGACTCCGCACTGTGCTGAGTACAAACAGATGTCTCTGCTGAGCATGTTGCAGGATCGGGGCCCAGGTTGCCTTTTGGAAATCGGCCTCAGTGTTCTGGGAACTATTATTTCTTTCATTACCTCTCTGTTAAATGAGGTCGGTAAGTGTGTTAGATTCTTTTTTTTTTTTTTTTTTAATGAAAAACTTATGCAGCATATCTGGAAAAGAAAATCATTCTCTGATTTGCCTGGCATAGTTACAGTTTTTCAATGTTGGAAGGTAGGAAGAGAAGTCATTCCTTTGTAGCCTCGGAGAAATGAGTGGTGGGAGATATGCCCACCTGTCTTTAACAGGTGAATGACGTTGAGTGCTTTTCTCTTTCTTTTTAACTTGCTCTATGGGGAGAACCTGTTGTCTTGTAGGTCCTAGGTATTTCTATCCTTCCCAATTTTTTATTATTATTTTTTTATTTTTTTAATTAGACTGATCAGCAGCGATTGTGATACCGTTGCTCTGGGGTGGGAAAGGCCAGCAGTCTGTGCGAGGGAACCATGTCTGTGCGGGAGTCCTTTAACCCAGAAAGTTACGAACTGGATGAGAGCTTCCGTCTGACCCGATTCACCGAACTGAAAGGCACAGGCTGCAAAGTGCCTCAGGATGTCTTACAGAAACTGCTCGAATCTCTACAAGAAAACCATTTTCAGGAAGATGAACAATTCCTGGGGGCGGTTATGCCCAGGCTGGGTAAGTAGTTGCTCCTCTAGACGAGGTGTGATCCTTCTGTTTGGTCCGCTTAGTGACGCGATCTCATGTGTGGTTTGTTTAATCAGTTTGAAAATGGCATGTTGTATAATGCGTGCACAGCGTTCAGAAATCTGAAGTATGAACCTCGTGTTGTCATTTGTTGGCATCTGGGACACAAGAATATTATTTTAATTATTCAACGTCCTGCAGTGCGCGCAGCTGCAAAGTAGGAACAGTCAGGAATGGCCATCGTGACAGGCACGTGCTTAGGTGTTAGAATCCTCCTCCCTTTCCCCAGCAGATACTTTGTGAACTGAAGTTGTATCCATTACTTTCTGGGGTTCTATTAATAAATTGCCTTTTGCAATGAATGCAATAAATTTTATGCCATTAGATGACTTGCAGGTGACATTCCCCTCTCCCTCCCCCCTGTTTCTGGGTCGGAGACAGGGAACAAGAGAAAACTTTCTCGCTTCAGCTGAGGCTGGGAGCGGATTTTTTCACAGTTGTCATTTTTTCTGTCAGTCCTTCCATTGTTCCCCACTCTTTTTTGCTTACCCGTAGAAGCTGCCTGGGAAAGTCTGTCTTTCCAAGACCTCTGTGGTTTTGCCAGCTTCACTTTCTCTTTGATATTTGTGCAATGATGCAAGCAGTAAGGGAAAACAACCTGCACAAGCCACCTACATGGGCAACAGGGCAAACGTAGGTATTTTGATACCAGCTACTGTATACCTAATGTTGATATAGATGATAAATTAATGTAGATAATGTGTTTAATGGCACTTCTAATTCTGTTTGTTTACTCAGCCCTACATATTCAATCTCTACTTTGCAGTGCAGAATGAAGTTTTTCCTCAATTTAGAGATATCCATGTAGCATTTATTCTGAAGTTATTTAATTATCAATTTAGTGTTCCATAACCTCATTTAAAATTATTTTAACATTGCTAATTGTCCATTAGCAGGCAAACAGGTTGCAGCCCATTATTCTGGTAGAGATTGAATTCAGTGAGAGATTAGTAAGGAGCCCATGTTCTTGCTTAAACAATGGCCATCTTTGTATGAAATATCTAGGCAGCAATTGTGTGTGGAGCTGGGGTGGCACAATAATTTAATATTTCCTAATGAAGGATGCTTCCAGCTTCTATCTCCAAATTGCTGTTTTTTTCTACATTAAATAAATTATTGACAACAGCATTTCAATGGGGCAAATTTCTAAAATCAGTAATAGTTTGGTTTTGATTTAATTATCTAGCTGTTTTATTTTTCTCTTACAAACTTACAGGCTCTTAATAGTAATGGAACTGCTAATAGATTTTTCTTCTCCAGCTATATGAAAAGATAAAAAAGTAGACTAACACCATCAATATGTAGGTGTGATGTTATGTAACAAGAAATCTGTTAGTAAGAGAAGGTGGAGAGTTCAGGTCTCTTAAAAATATGCTTTTGTGGTGAGTATCCACTTTAAAAAATGTGTCTCCTGATAAGTTTAGCATTACTTGCCTCTGATACCTTGTGTTTGAAAGGGATGGACAGGTAACTTTACAGCCTGTGCACCATGCTTTTGGGATGCAGTTAAGAGGGAAATTGCCAATAGCAGATGCAACCTCACTCCTTTTTAGTTCTGCAAGTGGTGTTACCCAGAGCAATCTTAAATACGACTGTGAGTATATCCATGAGTAAGAAACTGCAAGTTTGTTGTTAATTCTCAGAGCTGTTCTGCACCTTGAAATCGCTGTTTTCGGTCAGCTCACTGAACAGATCCACTTATTTAGTCAGTCGTTTTTTGGCGGCATAGAAAGGTAGCCTCAGAAGGACCATGGTGGCCCCTTGGCCTGTCTGTCAAGCAGCACTTCTGCTGAAGTTGTGAAAAACTGCACAAGTGAAATCAGTTCTTGTGGGATTGTGGCATGAGTAGGTGACCTGAGGGCAAAACAGCTCCTATAGATGAGCCACCTCCCTGTAACTGCTTATATGCACTTCCCTGGAGACGCTGGACATCATGCATAGTAGCTTGGTAGCTTCTGTGGAGGATGAGCAACCCTAAATTGCCACTTAAGAGCTTCTGATGGTATCCTTTCACTTCCAAGGCAAGATCATCACCTATGTACCTACAGCCTGTCCATTATAGGATCTCATATGAGAGCAGCTGGCTCCATCCCTGTACAGGACACTGCCAAAGACTGTCTTGTAGCCCTTGCCAGGTAGTGTGTCTCATTAATACATGGGGAAGAGTTACTGGGTGGCATCTGCTCCCTGAAAACTGATTGTTTGAAGACTCTTGCCCCATGAGTTATGCAGAGTCATTTTAGGAGCTTGCTGCCAGCCCAGGAAGGAGGTAAGGTTCCTGCCACTGCCACAAGGCAGGAGGAGATCGACAGGGAGTGCGGCTCAGCTGGCATGTTGTGATTTGTCACCTGCCACTTTTATGCAGGCTCTTGCCTCACAGCAAATGCCTGGAGGTTTTAGTATCGTGTCCTCTGTTGGAAATACCCACCGTCAGGGAACAGGCTGTGCTTGGTGCTGTGATTTTCTCAAAGGAGTTTCCCTGTCTAGCAGATCGTTTTGCCGCCTCTCAGCCCCACAGAAGTAAGGTGAGGTTAACACAGTTGCAGAAGCTCCAAGTGGGTGAATCATCTTTCACCGAGGGCCTAAGCTGTGTCTTGTGGTGTTCCTTTTGTTCCTCCTGAAGTGAGGAAATGTCCTTTATGAGAGGCTGTGTCCTTTTAAAACTGTCACTATGTTTTTGTTGAGATGGGAGTGACAGGATGCTGCTTGCTTTCAACAATATCAATTCACGTAGTTCCTCTTAATTTTGAATGTACATACATACAAGCACAGATGTTCTTAAAAGCCATGCACTGTTATTATGCTGCAACAAACTGTACAATGCTGTAGTTTAGTCCTTTCTTTCAGCCATTTACTGTTCTGTTCCAGTCAGGAGTTCTCATTCTTTGCTTGGTTTTCCTCTTAATTGCGCTACGTGCTTTCTCTAAGGAAGGAATTTGCTATGTCTGTTTAGGCAGTATTGTGAGTTGTATTTCACAGACGTGTTTTATAAGTTCTCTTGTTAAGAGCAACAGATAATTAAGGGCAAAGTTACTTACGTCACTGATGGATTTCTTTCTTTGCAGGAATTGGGATGGACACTTGTGTTATTCCATTAAGACATGGAGGTTTGTCGTTGGTCCAGACGACAGATTATATTTATCCTATTGTGGATGATCCTTATATGATGGTAAGTTGGCTAAACCTAATTGTTAGCTATATTGCTTATTTGATTTGAGCTTCTCCCCAATCTGATGGCAATTTTGACTGTTTCTTCTAGATGCGCGGTGCTAATTTTGCCTAAATACACGTGAAGAGAGGCATAGTTTCATCCTGTAATCTTTTCCATGTCAGCCAGGACTGCTGCCATGCTGCTTTCTATAGGTGGAAGTTGGGAGAACTGCCACCTTTAATTCAGATTTCCCTCCATCTGTAGTTCTGTGGGATTTGGCTTGAAAGCCCAAAAAGAGGGGAAGAGAGCTGTCTGTGAAGCAGCAGACAGTAGACTCCACTTATGAGCAGAACCACATTGTAATTGGCCTTTTGTGAGGTTCTGAAATAACCAGGTAACATGTTAGAACTGGAAATGTGTAAATGACAGTAGCTGGCAGTAACACCTGGCAACTTCAGAGTGCTTTGTGAACACCAGTTTTCCCGTTGCACTAACTCTGCTTGCAGATGGATAAGTTGAAATGACTTGTTGGAAGTTGTGTGTGTTTTGACTTCGGTTCCTTCTTTGTCTGTATTTCATTTAGTCCATCTCAGTAGAGATTCCTCTGGTGTTACATGTGGTGGTGATCAGTATTGACTTGAACAGAACATGGGGAAACGAAAGAACTGTAAAAAAGGACTTAGTAAAGTTTTAAGGACTTTCTACAGGAGGCGTTAATTAAATGAAAGTTAAGAAATGCTAGAATTCATGTTTCCTGTGATTTGAATGTGACTCCTTTGCTTTAAGGCATGCTTTCACAGCTGTTTATGTGATTGCATGCTGCTGTTGTGGTTTAACCCCAGCCAGCAGCTGGAGCCACCCAGCTGCTTCCTTGCTCCCTCCAGTCTGGAAGGGGGAGAGAATCAGAAGAGTAAAAGTAAGAAAAATAACTCATGGGTTGAGACAAGGACTGTTAGAACAGGTAGAGCAAAAGCTGTGCATACAAACAGAACACAGAATGAATTCACTGTTTTCCATGGGCAGGCAGGTGTTCAGCCATCCCCAGAAAAGCAGAGCTCCATCATGTATAATGGTTCCTTGGGAAGACAAATGCCATTACTCCAAACATCTCCCCTTTCCTTCTTCTTCCCCCAGCTTTATATACCGAGCATGACCTCACGTGGTACGGAATAGCCCTGTGATCAGTTGGGCTCAGTTGTGCTTGCCTTCCCAAATTTTTGCACACCCCCCCCCGCCTGCTGGCTGGTGGGGCAGTGTGCAGAACAGAAAAGGCCTTGACCACCTGGCAACAACTAAAAACAAACACTAGTGCTTTATCAAAAGCATTTCTCATCCCAAATCCAAAACATAGCGCTGTACCAGCTGCTAGTAAAAAAGTTAACTCTATCCCAGCTGAAACCACAACAATTGGTTGTTCCGTGAGACCTGTTGGGTAGGTTTTGAGTGCTCAGTTTGAGATGGGGACCGACTCATTCTTTTCCAGCGTGCTTGACCAGGTGTTGTGCACGGACGCAAGCGTAGCTCCTTTGATTTCTGTTCCACAAGAGTTCTCTGTCTGCAAACTGAGCAGTCAAGATCTCAGGCTGGCCTCTGGAATACAGAGTTGTTGAGCTCTCCTGGGAAATGTGATTCAAGTGGCTTGTTTTAACATCGTGTGGGAACTTGTCAAGGACCAGGATATAAAAAAAAATAATAATTAAAAAAATATATCTCTATTGTTCGAGATCTGAGAAGTTTTTCTCACCTTGTAACAAAGACGTGAGAGGGACAGCGTGAGAAGGCTGTGGTGGTGGTGGTGGAGGAGGAGGGTTGTTTTGTTTGGAGACAAAAAGGCTTTGAGATGCTGCAGGAGCGGGCAGATGAGCCTGTGCCCAGATGAGGTTTGGGCCAGTGTGGCAGGACTGGAATGTAAATTTGGCCTTAGCCCAACTTTAGTGGTTGCATCATAGTTACAGCCTATACCCTGCTCCACACGCACCAGCAACTGTAACCTTGGCGTTTTCCAAGGCTGAAGTCCTTCACTTTTCATTCCTAATGAATGCTGCTCCCTAATCTGTTTGCAGGTGTGTAGTTCTTAAAAGCTGACTGGGAAACGAGGCTTCTGTCACAAGCCTTCTTTGCTGGTACCTGCAGTGATGATCCAGCAGGGCTGGAGCTGCTGCATCTTCTATGCAGGTTTCTCTCTTGGGGACTAGAGTACCTGGGGGCAAGAATCATAGAATCATAGAATGGTTTGGGTTGGAAGGGACCTCAAAGATCATCGAGTTCCAACCCCCCTGCCATGGGCAGGGACACCTCCCACTAGAGCAGGTTGCTCAAGGCCACATCCAGCCTGGCCTTGAACACTTCCAGGGATGGGGCAGCCACAACTTCCCTGGGCAACCTGTTCCAGTGTCTCACCATCCTCATAGTAAAAAATTTCTTCCTGAGATCTAATCTGGATCTTTTTTCTTCCAATTTAAAACTGTTTCCCCTTGTCCTATCATTACCCCTCCTGGCAAAGAGTCCCTCCCCAGCTCTTCTATAGGCACCCTTCAGATATTGAAAGACCACTATAAGGTCTCCCCGGAGCCTCCTCTTCTCCAGGCTGAACAATCCCAGTTCCCTCAGCCTGTCTTCATAGGAGAGGTGCTCCATCCCTCTGATTGTTTTCGTGGCCCTCCGCTGCACCGGTTCCAGCCAGTCCATGTCCTTTCTGTGTTGAGGACTGAAATTGCCATTTTTATATGTGGACCAACATGAGCTGGAGCACAGCCAAATACAATTTGCTGGGGCGTTTATGGAGGGCTGGTAAAAGCAGAGGAATGGTGAGACTCAGGAATTTTGAGTTGGTGTCCAGGCTGCACACAGGAGTGTGCTCTGGATGCCCCTGTTGAAGACAGACCGCTGCTGCCCTGCTTCTCCAACTGCTTCTTTCTCTGTTTTTAGCCTAGATGCCCCCTGACTCATGCCTGTTTGTTACCACGCTCTGTTTTGTTATCACTCACATGCTGTCCAGGCTCTGCGTCTTGCTCTTCTGCTCTTACCTCCTTACCTAGTCAATCCTCATCTGTTTTGGGGCGGGTGTTCCCTAACTTAGAGTCACTCCCTCTGTCTGTACGCAGTGTCTACCTGTAGCTCCTTGTCTGATCTTTCTTCCTAGTTGGGGGGAGACGAAGCAAGGAGGGAAAGCCAGAAGTGCAAAGGGACTCCAGGCTGGGTGCGGTGACAGAAAGGATTAGGAAATGGCTGAGGAAGGCAAAACTGCATGTGGACTTAGCTGAACTTCAGATTTCTGCTTTCTCTCACCCTGTCACTGCCTATTTTAAAGTGAAGTTCTGCAGTTACATGCAAAAAAAAATCTGCCTCCTTTTCCCCTTTCCTTTCCGCTTTGGCTTTCTTCTTCAAAACACTTCATCCATGTTGTCTGAAGTATCCCTAGGATGTACACCTGTAAAATCCGTATCCAGCATAGCACTTTTTGTCTTAAATGGTTTGATATGGAAAAGTTACAGGCAATTGCAAGTATGTTTCATAGTAAGTATCAAGCCAATGGTAACAGGACTGGCACTGGTTGCTTTGGTGGCACTTTAGAGATGCCTTTTTGAGTACAGGGGCTGGAAACTGACCGGTTTGAGAATGATCCTTCCCCCTTCATTCCAGGGACCTTTTTGGTGCTCTTTTAAGAAGAACCTTCACTCAAGACTGGGGATGGGGGTCTGATGCTTCCTCCTTTGCCCTTATAAATAGCTCTTAGTATTGCCCGTGGATATTTATTGTGTTTCAGTGAGACTAAGTAAATAGGTAGCAAGCAAGACCCAGCTGGGCTGACCTATGTTTGTGAATCCTGTGGTGTTTATCAGTGTTTGCAAGCCGTGTATTCTTCCCTCTGTGACTTCAAACTTGAGACTTGTACTCCCTGAAATTGTTTCCATAGTGGTTTTGCCAGTTGGCAAAAGCAGTGTTAGGCTGACCTGTGGCTATTAGAATAGAGAGCTGTTGTCAGCCTGGTTTTAAAAACTTATCTGTCATTCCTAAGAGGGAATAAACCAGCAGTTTGCTTAGTAAATACTGAAGAGAATGGAGAATGGTTTGATAGTCCCCTTCCAGTAAAGGAAAATGACAGGCTTTAGTGTTCTTAAACATCTGGAAATTGAACAGCCAATATCCACCAAACCATGCAGTAGGCAGTTCACTCTTCTCTTAATAGTTTTAAGATTTAAATGATTAAAACATATTCCAGTTCTGAATATAAGGGATTCCCCTGATGCCACTGGAGGCTCTTGAATTAATGAAAAACTGGATTATATTTAATTGTGATTTGAAGGTGTTATTTCATGTCATCAGCAAGTAAATTAACAGTCTGATAATATAACTTTTGCAAAAATCCTGGATGTGTGATTAAACTGTAAGGTTCTGGAGATTGTGGAAATGGGTTGAAATTCCTTCTCCCTGCCCCCCCGCCTTTCTCCCTCTGAAATTTGCCTTCCAGCTAAAGTATCTTTCTGTAGTCCAAACTGTGTCAAATAAGCATGTTGTTTTTATCACGGTGGTGTTGCCTCTCAACTTTATGAAAAGCACAGATTTCAAATCATAAAACCAGATGTTGGTTACAGTTCTGCAGCTGTAAACCTAAAACAATTTTAATAAAATGCATGGAGTTTTTCAGAGTAACACAACAACATTTGTCCTGTTCGTTAAAATGACCTTGCCATCCCTTAGGGCGCATCCTGTATCACAAAGTTCTGCATTTTCATCAGGGAACTTGGTGTCTCACCTGTGCTGGGTCTACACCCCAACAAACCTGACTTGGATCCATTAATTTAGTGAAATTAGAATAGCTGAGCTCTTGTGACGCAAGTGATCCCTTCTCAGTTCTGTCAGCTTCATGGCTTCTTGGAGGAATCTTCAGCAGACAACCAGGTCTCTTGGGCTAATTTTTATTAGTGGAGCGGCTCACACACACACAAGTCAATTAAAATGTATGTGCTGTATCAAAATTCAGCCTTATCTTGTCGCTTGAACAAGTGGCAGTGTAGACACATCTCACACACTTTACAAGTGGTGGGGGACAGACATCTCTCCTCAGTAGCTGTGCGTGCTCCTCAGCGGTGACGAGACCAGCTTCTGGGAACCCTCAGCTCCTTAATCCCCAGCACATGCTGTCTTCTGCAGACATCTTCTTATTGACGTCCTGACAGAAGCAGCACCCCAGTGTGGCTTTGTGCTGGCACAGCTGTATCTTGCCAAAAAACTTGGGTGTGTAGACATGGACTCCAGGGTAGTGCAGAGGAACAAACAGCTTTCCCAAGGTCCCTGTCTCCTACATACTCCGATGCAGAAGAGGCACAGCGATGTAAGCTTTTTGATTAGCTTCCTTGCAGTTGTGAATTACATACCACCCGTGGTCATCTTTGTCAGTGTGTACAGTTTTGTGCTGGAATAAAGTTAATAGGAACGTATCAGATTAAGTAATCGGAGCTTGTTATCAAGCTAGGCTTTGTCAAGATTAATTTTAACTTCTAAAATTAGGCATCCAGTCTCAACTCAGCGTGGGATTCCTGTGTAGTCAGCAAGAGAGTAGGTTGACCAAGACAGCTGGGATGAATTCTCACCTTACCTGTGGCTGAATTCGTACCTTACCACTTCTAGATGGGAACGTTGCATGAAGTAGATCATACCACATATTTGGATGGGCTTCTTAATGCAGGAGACTGTGGAATAAGCAGCTGTCTCGGAGCATAAACTCATGCTTGAAGTTTTTCTTCATGGCAGGTATTTGTCTGAACATTCACAAAGAGTCCTGCAGATTTTTTTTGACTTTCTTTCTTTTTCAGGGACGGATAGCGTGTGCCAATGTCCTAAGTGACCTTTATGCCATGGGGGTCACAGAATGCGACAACATGTTGATGCTTCTTGGAATCAGCAATAAAATGACAGATAGGGTAAGATTTTTGGTACTTGCTTTTGAAGGAAGACCTGAACAGCTAAACATGCCTAGAATGTGTTTACCTTCAGTGTATTCTCTCCTCAAAGTTTGAACCCTTTTAAAGAAGATACGGTTTTATTGAGTGTTGCCGTTCATAGTATGGGTCTTGCCTCATAAACGTTCTGAGGTCACTTCCTAAAAGCTCAGTTTTCTGTGGCATTGTAATCTTCTGCAGCTAATTCCTTCATCCCCACCAAAATGGGGCCTCCTTTTGCCAATTCAGGACAATGCTGCTCCAAGGCAGCATTCGATTACCAATTGATGTATCGATCCAGATAGATATATTTCTGGTTTGCTTATGCCAGTTTGTAACATCTCTCTGAAGCAGGAAAAAACTGAGATAGATTACGTTTTTGTTTGGTTTTTTTGTTTGGTTTTTTTGTTTGGTTTTTTTTTTTTGGTGGAAGTGACCAGTATGTTTGTTTTGCTCCAGTAAAAAAAGGGGTGTTTATTCTTAGAAGGAAGTTGAAACTTTGCAGGTTAGTGGAGGCCAAATGCAGCTTGTTTTAACTTTGCCGTATTGCACTGCACTGCTGTGGTCGTACCTGGTTACAACAACAGTTCTGAGTTTCCAGAACTTTGATTTCTTTAATTTTATTTGGCCTTTTGAAGAATGGTTCTTCAGCATAAGAATGTCTCCTCACCTCTTTTAGATAGAACTGTAAAACCATAGATAGCTCTGTGGGCTAACCGTGCAGTTTTCAGGAGGCTGACCTCTCCCTAAGGCTGGCTTTTGTGTCATGAACTTATTTGCCATGAGAGCATTTGATTTGAGTGATTAAAGCCCTGGACTAGTCTTGAAATGACTTGTATGGAACTCTGACTTCTGTTTTGATCTCTAGGAAAGAGACAAAGTGATGCCTCTAATTATCCAGGGTTTCAAAGATGCAGCAGAAGAGGCAGGAACATCTGTTACTGGTGGCCAAACAGTGTTAAATCCCTGGATTGTTTTAGGAGGAGTGGCCACGACAGTCTGTCAGCCTAATGAATTTATAATGTAAGTTAAATCGCTGAACAATCAAAGGCACTGGTTTGAAGGGGTACGATAAAAATCCTTTAAATACCATGTTGTGATCTGTCTCCTGATAAATAAAGCAGTACCCTCTCCTGCTTGTATTTGTCCTTAGCACTCTACAGATGCCACATCCCTTTTGTACATATTTGCTTTTTTAAACAGGATGTCCTTTTACTTCTCCCTGTCCCCCAGTGTCTTTTGATCCCCTTCTCCTTTTGACAGGAGAGATAAGCTTCTAACCTTTAAAAGTATTGAAGACTGTTTTGGGACATGAATTTATGTGGTATTTATACATACATTTTAAACCATCTCTACATTTTAAACCATCTCCCAGTTATCCTATTAATGGCTGTAGAGAACTACAGAATTGGTGTGCTTACACCATTTTGCCAATTTAATAATAGCTGATTTTGAATGTCCCACTGTGGTGTGTTACACAACACAGATGAATTTGTTTGCCATCCTAGTGATGGTTATCTTATGCCCTGAAGTTACAAAGGTCAGTTTTTTTCCTATCCTATCTTCTATCCAATCTTACGTCTCCAGTAAATTGAAAGGTGTAATTTCGTGTGTATCTGACTGCAAGCATTGTTACATTTCAAGAAAGAAGGATTAGCACTTTTAAATAAGTTTGCAGCTTTTTGCTCAGTAATATCCCATGGCAATGAATCCCAAAGGGTAATTCTGCAATTAGTCGGTTTTTTAACTGTGCAACAAGATACATGGGTCTGTGAAAACGTAATTATCGGTACTTATTCCTAATAATGTGTGTGAATCTTACTGTGTAATTAATATGTGAATTCTTTGTTTTCAGGCCAGACAATGCGGTGCCAGGAGATGTGCTTGTATTAACTAAACCCTTGGGAACACAAGTGGCTGTAGCTGTCCACCAGTGGCTAGATATTGTGAGTACACTGCAAAAAAAGAAATAGGGGAGAGGGGGTGTGAGTTAAAGGTGACCTTCCTCATTCCCTCAAAACCTCAAAATGACAAAGTTCAGCAGCGTTAATGAGTGCACTGAGGGCTGGGTTGGGAATGATCTACCACCTCTCCCTCCTCCTTCCTCCTCAGTGTGTCAGCCTTACCTGCACACGTGCAAAACTCTTTTGGAATCAAGAGAGTTTACTGTTTTGTGCTTAGCAAGCCCATCTTAACTGCATCTAATTCTTAGTTAGTTCTCAGGCATTGCTGTAATAAACAAAATTGTTTACTAACAGAACAACAGAGTAGCGCCCTGGGTAAAATAATGCCCCTACTGCACCTGCCAAAGTAATTGGCAAAAGCTTATTGATGGCAATTAGGCCAAGATTGCTGTCTGTGTTCTTGGGCTTTCTGCTTGTGTACATGGAAGTGTATCTACGTTTCACATGTATTACTCTGTGCATTCAACAAGAATATTTCTAGCAGCATTATGTATGTAGACGTAGTTCCATCTGTTACTTCAGGCAAAAATGTAACTACTGAACTGAAAAGTGACTGCAAAATTGGCATCTACTTATGTTGTCTGGCTCCCAGTACGTGTCTTCAGAATTATAACTGCTCAGTTTACACTTTAAAAAGATGCATCTTTTCTACTTTTGGGACTACTGAGCCAATAGACTGGCAGAGAAGTGAGCTGGAATCTACTTTGTCTTGGCTGTTGGCCACTGCATTGTCAGATGAATTCTAATTACAAAGCCTGTGCTGGCAAAAGTGGGAGAGAACCAGCTTAAACCTCCATTGGCGTCTGAAGCATGAGCAACAAGAAAAAAAAATATTTTTCTCCTTCTTCATAGGGTCTGGCCTAGCAGTTTTGACCTGTGCACAATCCTGCGTTTTCCAATCAGATATAAGGACCAGGGCCTCAGATAATCTTGATATGAAAATGAAGTGAAACAACAAGACACCAGTTTTATAGTACGTTTTCTGGCCATAATCTTACTTCTTAATATATCTGTTATTGTACACAGACACACAGACTTGCAAATTAAGGATATTTCCACATATTTCAACTACTTCTAATTTCCCTGACTGTCAACCAGAAACACTTGCTGGTCTGAAAAATGAGGACAGCAAGGAAATCAATCCTCCTATTACATGTAAACAGAATATATCTTTGCTTGGTAGGAAAATTTCTGAGTAGCTGTGCTGCCTTTTCTTTAGCATTGTTTAGTGAAAGACTAGGGAAAGTGAAACTAGAATTACCCATCACAAATCCACCCATAAATCAGGTTTTGGTAGGGAATTTGTATTGAAAAGTATGTGGGGGAAGGTACATAGTACAGCAAGTTTATGCATAGGCAAGAAAGGAAAATGAGTGTAGAGAGATGTGGCTGCAAAACAGATCTTAAAAAAAAAAAAATCCTTAAAGGTGAATTACTTCAACAGAGCAATAGAGAATGAGTTTCTGGTGATAAGTGGAAGGAAGATCCAGGTGGAGGCAAAATTTGTCCTCCTTGCTTGTTTGCTGTCCTCCTGCACTGTTGCAGCCAAGCCCCAGCTGTGTTGCTGGCAGGGGTGCCCTGGGGTGCAAGGGAAGAGACTGCAAAGAGTCTGGGAGGAGCTGGGCTCCCAGGGGACCAGGTCAGGGTGATTAATCAGTTTTCTGTGGCTTTGGCTGCCAGGCTGATGGTATGGGCTGATTAGGCTGGTCCACGGCTGGACCTTTTCCAGCTGAAAAGCATAAAAGGGATTGCTGTGATGTGCCCCTTCAGAAGAGGTTTTCTAGCCCTTGTGGTTGTCTACTAGACCCTTCCCATTTGGAAATTTGAAAATTGGGGGATTTTTGTAAACTTTTCTGCCTTTGTCTCCTCTCTACTAACCCCAGAATCTGAATGCTATAGTGGAGCAGAATTTGCATCTAATTTGTATCCTACCTGTGTTTGTGGCTCTTCTGGCCTCAGCTTTGAGTTCTGCTTCCACCTCATTTGTGATTTCCATTTCCATCATCTGACTGATTTCCATCCCATGATCAGCCTCAGAATCATGGTTTTTGAACACTGAGGCAGAATGACTGCTCAGTTTTTCAGTCACACCCACAGTAAGAATAACCACTATTCTGTCCTCTCTCTAATAGCCTCATTTATGTTTTTTTTTTTAACTTGCGTTCTCTCTCTCACTTAATTGGTCAGGCCCAGTTCAGCCTAATTTCAGAAGCTCTGCTCTTACTGCCATAATTCCTTGCTCTTTAACAAATAATTTGTTTAGGCTGACCAGTCGCTTCCCCCTCGTGCCATTTCTGGGTTCTCTCTTACACCCCTCAAAGTCAGCACTAATTATTTTTAAGGATAAGAGCCTCTTTGACAAGATCCTTCCTCAGTGCAGCATCATATACCAATTCTTAGTAGTTTTTGCACCTTTAATTTAGTAATGAGTTTGTTCTATGTGTTTATTTTGTGGAGTGGCAGTGTAGGCACTGTAGCTTTACAAAAAAAAATCCTATTTCTGTTTATTTTCGGTTCTCTGTAATTATATTTCCGTTGCAAAAAAAAAAAAAGGCAGAAAATTAAACCAGTTTGTAGTGTTGCTCTTAACAGGTAAACAGTTGCTTTGTTTCATTCTGGATCTGGAATTACTTCAGCTTTGAATGAAACAATTGCCCTTTATAAAGGTACCATTTCTTAAATTGCTCCGAGACGATTTTTGGATGAAAAGCATTGCTTAGTGTGTGATGGAGGCATGAATCCGGACAAGACACTGGAGGATGGGTGGAAGGAGATGCAGATATTAAACTGTAAAGGAAGTTTATGAAACTGCCCTAATCCTAACTCACTGGAGTTGACTACATCCTGCCTCAGCATACGTTCCTCAGACCTGGATTTGTGGGTATCAGTGGCCTTTCTTAATCTAAGTGTTCAGATGTGAAATCAAGAGTTTTCTCTTAAAAAAAGCAAACAAACAAACAAAAAAAACCAACCAAACAAAACCCACCCAAGAAGCCAGAGATTACAAATTTCAGCATCCAGCAACAAATTTCATTTGGTTGAGGAGTTCAAGGCAGAGAGTTGCCTTGAAGGAGTTCTTTGCCCCAGGGTAGGTTATACCACTCCACTCTGCTGCTGAAACCAAGATGTGAGGTGCTTAGTGCCTAATAGACCTTTAAATGAGCTTCACTTTGGTACAGGGCTGAGGCACACACCTCTGACTGTTGAACCTTTTGCCCCTCTTTGACTGAGATTAAAAAAAGAACAAGTCCAAGTGCATTTTGGATGAAGGATTTTTTTTTTT